TGTTGTGATTAGGATGGCATTGTTGGACAAAATGGTAAGAAATACACTCCATTATTTTGGATGTATTATGATAGTGGAGAGGTTAGTGGGTTGAGTGGCTTGATTGAGGATTTGAAGGGATTGGGGCTGCGTGATTAAGAGACTTTTGGAGAATTAAAATATTCTCCTACACCGTAAGTGATAAACTGGCTAAAATGGTATGCGCTTTTTTGCCCAAACTTTTCCGAATTGAAAACGGATCGCGTTTTTGGAATCAGACTGTCAAATCTAAAATTTTGATATAATTAAAATATTTTTCTGAAAACTGCTTCAGGGGTGTTGTGTGATCCGAAGATTTCGCCCAGGATGAAAGCTAAGTTCTACCGATCCGTAGTCAGACCTGCTATGTTATATGGGGAAGAGTGTTGGGCGGTTAAGAATACTCATGTGCATCGTCTGCATGCGGCAGAGATGCGGATGTTACGATGGATGTGTGAGAAGACAAGGTTGGATAGGATTTCGGACGAAGTTATCCGACGTGAGGTAGGCATGGCGCCAGTGGAAGATAAGTTGCAGAAGCGAGGTTGAGATGGTTTGGTCAATAGAGACGGCAGGATGCTGACGCTCCTGTACGGAGATGCAAGAGGATTACGGTTATCGGGGGAAGTAGGGGAAGGGGTAGACCTGGGAAGAATTGGAAGGAGGTGATTAGGCAGGATTTAGGACTTCTCACTCTGACTGAGGATATGGCCTTAGATAGGATCTTTGGAGAACTAGGATTAGAATAGCTGGATAGGAGCTCGGTGCTGTAGAGGTTGTTTTGTAGTGTGTTGTGTTTGATTGGAATCTTTTGCTATTGCTTGCAGCACTTTCATTTCATTGTCCTTGGTGCTTTATCCGTGTTATACTGTGTTCCCTTCCATATTTTTGTGCAGGTTCAGTCGGGAGTCTCTTGGAAACAACCTTCCTACTTCTGAGTAGGGGCAAGGTCTGCGTACACACCCTCCCCAGACTCTACTGTAATGGGATTCAACTATGAAAATTTAATTTTAATAAATCTAAGACATTAAAACTAAAAAATTTCAGTGTTAATTGAAAAATAAATACAAAATAAATTTGGAAAAATAATTTAAATAATTCTGTAATGTTAAAATATGATTGTAAATATTCAGGAAATTAAAAAATGTCTATATTTTCTATATTTTCAAATTAAAAAATGTCTATTCAACACTAATATTGATTAAATATAATTGAAAAATTAAAATTCCGAATTAAAAATTATGAATTTGAAAATATAATTATAATATTTTATAAAAATTTTCATAATTGAATATTTAATAAATATATAATTTTTCATATTTGGGAAAAACATTTTTGGTCTATCAAAATTTAATTTCTTAAGTTACACAATCAATGTTTAAATTGTGGAAATTTATTGTTTGGTAAGAATATCATAATAATCTGGAAAGTTTTATTTTTTGGAATATTTATTGTATAAGACAATAATTTAAATTCAAATTACCCCCAATTATTCTACAACGGTCTTGGACGTAAAAAACCCAACTTTTACCCTCCAAAAACTCCTAGATAAACCCCCTCTAAGTCTCATTTATGACACAACAACTTCCCAACTATATCTAAAACCTATTTCTCTATTCTTGTGTGTTTCTTAAAGCTTTGATCATATTTTTCTTAGTCTTTTGAGTATAAAATTTTCATTATTTTTATATACTCACACACAAGAGCATTTGTTATTCATTATTTTATATCTTTGTTATAGGCTTTTGTTGTTGTTGATTTAATAATTTTTTTTATCATACCCAATTCTTTTTTATTATTACTCCGTATTTGGTAGAGAAGTAACAACAATTTCTATTGTTTTTGTTAAGGTGTGGATAGCCTTTAAATCTACATTGTAAAAGGTTAAAAATAGCCTATAAATCTTTTTTTTGAAAGCGGTCGAGATAGCCGTTGTAAAATCTCATTTACTTATTGACAAGGGTTGTTTGCCAAACCTCATTAAAGTCTTCTTAGTGAAACCAAACAAGTTAGTGGAGGTTAAATCCTTGAAGAGGAACATCGAGGTGAAGGTTAAATCCTTTTCTCTTTTACACTTTTCTTGCTTTTTATCCGCTACTACTTTGCGGTTAAGTTTTATTTTACAAAAAACTTTCAAACACCCTAATTCACCCCCTCTTAGGGTGTAACCGACTTTCAATATATATTTTGTTCCTTAAATAGTATTTGACAAACTTAATTATCATATAATTAAAACGTCCAAATATGAATAAATGTTTATTCGCTACATTAATAATAAAATAATACACAATTTATTATTATTTCTACTATATGTGTGTGTGTGTGTCTATATATATATATATATATATATATATATATATATATATATATATACATATATATATATATATATATATAT